CCTGAGACCTAATTACCGGCCCGGCAAAAATAATGATCTGTCGATTGACCCTATCATTATATTTTTTGAGGGCCTACAGGGGCTGGCATTTAGTTACCCGTAAAACGCGTTTTTTCTAGGGAATTCCCTAGGGACATGTCGGGCAAAAATCCCTCCACCCGGGCCTTAACAATTACACTATTTTTTCGATAGGTTTCTGATCGATTTGTGTCGATAAAAAGATATCAATTTATAAAAATCAAATGGAATTTTAATTTGATTTAATTACTTTGTCCCATTGCACTCAGAGGGCAATTTTCCTCTGCCATTTAACCAAGTTTCGGCTAGCATATCAGATTCTAGCTGTGGGGCTACAAAATCGTCATATAAATCTGAAAATTAATTAATAACAATTAATCATAATCAATCAATAAATTGAAGGATAATTAAAGCTCTTAAAACGGAAATTTCAGGATATTTTCTTCTAGAAATTAATTATTTTTTACATCGACTCATATAAATCGATATTGATTGATTATTCGTTAGAATTTTCGCAATTAAATTTCCCTGACAAAAAATAATAATTTTTCGATCATTTCTAGTCAACAGTTTTTGTTATTCCACGAATACGATGTTAAAAATCCGTTTTCCACTGGAATAATCATAAAGAATTCCACGTAAATCGAATTTTACGTACCTTTTTGCCATTTATCAGCTTTGGCAAAAGATATAAATTCATTCCCGGCAAGAGTCGTTATCACTTCCTTGCGATAGTACGGAGGTTTCTTTATCCTCGGACGTTGTGCAGCCTTAACGAGGAAGGAATACTGTGGCAATTGTCTCGGTACATTGTACTTGTATGATGATATTTGATTGTAAATGAGTTGCTTTGAAATTCCGAGCATTTGTTCACCCCCAACTGAGATACACAAAAAACTCTGGCCGTTGTTTTTCCCGGACGCTGGGTACGAGTACTCGCCGTCGACGATGTCGTCAGTGTCGAGATCGCAGTCGTCGGTATTCGATGATTTACATTTTTTCATTACTCCAGTGTTTGGGGGGGGAGGGTAATTAGGAACGCTATGGATCATCCAGAAGCCATGATTAGCGTTGGTCATTAGAACACCTTTTGCGTGACCGTACGTTGGCGCAATTTTCTTGTTTGGTGGCTGATCGTTGTACAGGATCCAGGCTGATTTTTCTGCCACATTCTGCAATTTGATTCAATTGTTTTTCATTATTTTTACTCATTATTCAGTCGTTTCTGGAAAATACTGCGAAGAATGCCATCGGTTTTTCGGTAATAACTCCGACATTCGCGGAAGTAATGAAATTTCTGTTCAAACCTTTTTTGTAGAACTTGTTGAGAGCTACAAAAAAGTTATTACAACAGTTTTTATACCACCCCTCAATTACGAGATATTTGATTGTAAGCGATCAATTACTGAAAAATTGAAGTGTGTACAGGTTCACTACTGATTTTATCGAGGAAATATCTCGGAATCCAGAGCAGATATCGAAATTTTTGTGATTACCGTTTTTCTAGGTCTTAATTAGATCTCGAAAATTGGATTAATAAACATTTCGCTATCTCCTCTGATAGCGGAGATATTGAATAAAACGAGGCGATAAGATTTTTATTTCTCTTACGAAACTATCGGAAATAATCGATCCAAAAAATGGTTTTGGATTCACAAAAAATCGGGGAATTCCCCCAAGGACTTATGTAGTTGCCTTCGAGATAAACCCGATGAATTATAAACACACGTGCAGCATTGGTGGGAAATTCAATTAAATTCGGCAGATGCGCAAATACTGCAGTTCAAATTTACCCGATTCCAAGGAGAATCTCTATTTGCAAACCTTGAGAAATCCTTGAATAATAATTCTCGATGAATACTCCATCGGGTAATTATCCGGGTCTAATTGCAACGCTAAAATTGAATAAAAACACTCAAATGGGAGTCCAATTATTTGACAGGCGTGATAACAATTATTTTACATCTTATCTCCTCGAGAATAAATTGCATAGATTTTTTTTCCGATTCAATTTCTTCAAGATCGTATTTACCCTCAATCAATACATTCGACCATGAATTATTAAAATGTACGCGCATCACTCCAGCGGGAAATTCAATTCAATTTAATTTCAGCGAAAATTCTTGCGTTTAAATTAAATCTTAAACAAGAGTTAATTGATTTTGAATCATTTTTTATTTTAATTCAAGCGCTTAAAAATAAAAAATGACTTTAAAAACAATCGAATTGAAGATTTAATTAATTGAAATTAGATTTAATCTTGAATGAGAGTTTTTGAGACTGGATTTAATCATTTAATCGGGGGTAATTAATCAGGAGTTAATTGAGAGTAATGAAATAGTTACGTTTTTGTAGAGAAGAGCAAGTGTCTGTCCAGGAATGGATCGCACTGATTCAATACTTCGTTTGGATAATTTCCATCCATTAGCAACAGATTGATTAGTCATGTAAAGATATGACACGCCTTCTCTGACGAGCGGATTCGAGTGATCCGATATTTTTGGTAATTTGTAGAGAACATACCTGCAATCAAGAATTCCATAAATCCATGAATAACAACAAAAAGAAATATTTATTCCAATAATTCTTGAATAATTGTGTGCTGTCAATTACTCCAATTCTAATTGTTGCAATAATAAATTAACATGCATAATATAACATGCATGTCGTTCAATTTGTATTAATAATTTATAAACAATCAATATGTTTACGTTATTTCTGAAAAATTACTTCGGTTTTAAACAATTCATGGAAATTGACGAATTCGCAAAAAATGATTCGCATTCGAAATTTTGAAAGTTTAAACAATTTTAATTAGTTATTAATTAGCTATATATAGATGTTTGAGGCAATTATAACAAAAATTAATTATTGGTGTTATCATTAGTATTATTTAAATGCAATTTGAATAATGTACATTATTCTTGAAAATTTTCTTTTCGATTTAAAAAAAAAATTTAAAAAAAGGATTGTGAGGTGCAAATTGTTATTGTAAAATTGGTCATTGATAATGATGGAATTTATATTGAGGTTTATGAAATAAGAATATCTTGAGATTTTACCAATCGACATTTTTTCCATTTTCATCTCTGCACTGAATGGAATTGGAGTAGCTGGTGACAGCTCCCAGTGCTGTCAAAATCAGAAGGAAAATCAAGTCAGTCCTCATTGCTCAATGATTCCTGATGCACTGGTGAGCTCTTGCCACCAGTCATTTATTAGTTAACTCATTGCACTCCAACAATTGCTTTTTGTTTGTCTATCAACAACAATGTTTCGTTGGATGGAGCCACTTGCGTTTTCACAGAAAAACCGCCAAACGTTAAATATTCAAAAGTCGACGAGTCAATATGAAAATTCGCACTGAAACTGCAATTTATTTCCCATTCATTACCTTTTTGCAGATAATTACATAACAATTACAACAATATTAACAATAATATTAACAAAAATGCAACAAAAAGTCAATTCAGACTTCACAAATCGATTCTTATCAATTAATATCGATATATCTCGAAAACTACTGACTTTACGAGAAAATATGAAAATATCTTTTTCATTGGAAATTTTATCAGCGACAAAAAAGTTTCTCATCATTTTCCCGATAAATCGATAGTTTTTGAGATACATCGATATACTCAAAAAATTAAACCTCATTAAGTTTATCGCGTTTCTTTCCTTTGAGACTTAATTAATTATTAATTAATAGAAGTTGTAAAAATTAGCCCGATGGCTTGGGACATGCTTCAACCTCGGCGATGGCATTTTTATAGTGTCTCCAGAGATCTCTGGATTGTAAGCAGACGGTGCCACCGCCTCTTTCAGTTTGAGAGCGCTGTAAAAATAAAAAATTAAAAAAAATTTGTTTTTTAAACAGTAGAAAATACTCGTTACCATTCTGTTAACGTCTCCTACACACACGTAGAATAACATATTGCGGTGATTCTCTCCTATCGCCCACTTGGAATGATCTTTCGTAGTTCTGAATTCAAATGTCTTAAAACCGGGGGTTCCCAGCTTGACACTCTTCACATTGTAAATACTACAACAATAAATAAACAAATACTATACGTCTTATTATATCTAAATTTTCTTAGAAGATAATAAAGCCTGCTGCTGATTTAAAACAAAAGAAAAGTAATTATTCAATTGAATTTCATTAAATTTCATAAATAAACAAATTGAAAAAAAAAAAATCATCAATTAATATATCAATATTAAAAACAATCAATGTAACATTTACAATTTACTATCCTGATTTTTAATTTTATTATCACTACTAATTTATTAATAACAATGATAATTAATTAATTGAGTATTTATTTTTCGGGGAAATCGAAATATTTTTGAAAAATTCATCCCATTAATTGTTATTGAGGATAATTTTTTTAATTTGTTTTTTCTCCAAAACAATTTCTCTTACTGTTTTCCTTCGCAATTTGTCACTAATTTGGTACCTGAGCCCTTCTGCCACGAAGTCACGTACATGTCTGAATTTAAATATGGAGCAACCCAATTCCAATAAATATCTGGGGAAAATATAAATAATATCCTATAAACTATAACAAAATAACAATTATAATGATGACTCTAATTATAATTTCACTATTTTTATATTATATTTATAACTTAATACAACAAATTGATTAATTGAATTCATGAATAGAAACAAAAATGTAGATTGCAGAATAATAAATAAATAAATGAAATATAATATAATGTCTTTTAATTATAATATTCTTTTATAATTGCAATTTCAATGAAAAATAAGAAAAATTGGAATGCATTGGAATAAATTAATTTAATGTGATATAATTGTTTGGCGGAGTAAAATTGTTAATGGAATAAACGAACAATAAATGAACAATTATTTTTTAATACCTTGCTGCCAGTGTTTGGCTGTTGCGAATGACAGGAACTTCTGTCCACCACGAGAGAAAATTTCCTTGAGTTTTGGTGCTCCACCTTCTAGTTGCGGCATGTGGGGTTCCTCCGCAGCCTTCAGGAACATGGAGTACGAGCTCTTCAGGGAATCAGGCACGTGGTACCTGAAGGTATTGATCTCGTTGAAGATGAGCTGATCGGCGATGGGAGTTCTCTGGTCTGCGTTTACCGATATGCAGAGGAAACTCTGGCCGTTATTCTGCCCGGTGGAGGGGTAGGAATATTCAGGTTTCGTTGGGGCAAGCATACTGAAGAACTTCTTGCAGAGATCACCAATTGAATATGGACATTTACCTGCTGAACCGGTCGTTGGTACTGGGGGATATCTGGAAATAATTGTAATGTTGTTGTACGTCTTTCATATTTTTTTTTTTTCAAATTTTTTATGGTGATTACAGTGAGAGGAAAATAATGAATAAATAAATAAAATAATAAATTTGTTAATTATGACAGGACAATCTACACATTCTAAATGAAAATGTTTATTTATGTATATTTAAGGATGATCTGGTGATACGTTGAGGAGTAATTGTTGTGGGGTTTTTAATGTTTAATTAATTAATAACCTGGGGACACTGTGCACCAGCCAAAAACCATCGGTGTTGTCTCCCATTACGACACCTTTTGTATGACCGTATTTAGCACCTCCTGCGGTCCTGTCTGGTGGATGATCGTTGTACAGAATCCACGCCTTTTGTTTAGCTACATTCTGCAATATTCCATTAATTATTCAATAAACATTTGAAATATTTGATTAAATCGCTGAGAACCTAGATTATTAATAAAAATTCTGGAGATTTTTCACTCAAATTCTCGTATGGAAAAATCCTCATTTCATGACTCATTCTTTTTTATTTATAAATAAATTATCGAGAATGGAATTTGTTTGTTGCAATTCTAATCTTCTCCTGAAAAACAAATGATCCATAAAGACACTAGGAAGAGATCATTTTTTCCGGGAGTTTTTTAAACGGAAAACTTCCTGGAAAAATTTATAAACAAAAACATAAATATAATATTAAGGACCGGTTGGATTATCTGGAAAAGATAATTTACTCCAAAATTGGGATTCCTAATTACTCTGGCAATTAATCGTTTTTTTTTTCAATAATTGTTAGCTAGCGTTCTAGCGGTTGTCAACGACTAGAACGCTAGCTAACAATTATCGGAAAAAACAATTAATTGGCGGAGTAATTAGGAATCCCAATTATGGAGTAAATTATCTTTCCGAGATACTCCATCCTTAAACAATCGTAAAAATGTTTAAAAATTCCAAATGTCGTTGGATATATTTTTTCGCTCGAGATAAAATAATTGAATCAATATAAAACCATAACTCAATTAATAATAACAATAATAATTATGATTGCAAGTTATTGTGGGATTAACAACAAATTATTTATAATTCTTTTACGGAGTCTGAGGGCTAGACTTTCGCTTCAGAGATTTTTTTTTTTCGCGTAATGTTTATTTAACATTTTTTTTTATTAATACATTGGACTCACGTTATCATAAAGAGGTGCCAGGGTTCTTCCGGGAATAGATTTTGGCGATCCAATACTTTCCGCCGATAATTTCCACCCACCACCCACACTTTTACTTGTTATGTACAAATATCCTAGTCCTTGCTTCACCAGAGCCTCTGAACTCTCCGCTATTTTCGGTAATTTGTACAACACGTACCTGAACATTACAAAATATTATTTATTTAATAATCAATTCACGAAGACTCTCTTCAATGCCCTGCAGCCAAATTTTCCATTTTTCCTTAAAAAAAATTTTCCGTTTTTCATTCGACACTTGCGATTCAATCTTATATTTAATAAAAACAATAATATTAATAATAATATATTCACGAATACATATTTTTTAATTTTAATTTTATTCTTAAAAAAATTTTTTTTTTATTAAATTTTTTTTTATATTTTTATCTCATTAATTTTTTTTCTGGAAATCATTGATTTTTAAAAAATATAATTATCAATTATGGAATTTAGAAGATTAATTCCAATTCACTCCGATTTTTTAATTTATTCTAGTAATCACATTCGAATAAATGATATCATTAACAATAACATATTTTATTATAATTATTTATATCGAATCTCTAAAATATTTTCCAGATTCAAGTAAAGAAGTCCAAAATTTCGAGACTGCCTTGTAATCTAATTGAATTCGATATTTAGATTCAACAAATTAATTAATTACCAATCAACATCAAGGCCGTCCTCATCCTTACACTGGAGGGACGCCGATTTGACAGCTCCAGAGATGAAAAATAATATCAATAGAGTAAATTTTGTCTTCATTGTTGACTGCCCCATGACAATTAGCTGAAGAAGCCACCGACGATGACATTTTATACCGATCTTCGATGGAGATAATGACACCCGAGGCCGAAGTAAATAATAAAACCTCAATATTGCGGAAGAAAAATTATCGCTCTACACACATTTTACCGTTAAATATTTTTCCCATAGTTTTATTTACGATCATCTCCAACGGTTAAATTATCTTCAAACCGTAAATTACAGAAATTTTCCTCCTCTTTTGCGATTTCCAAATCGTTAAGCAAATCATAATAATTATTATCATTCATATCGATTAATCATATTTATTATTATGATTATACATTATTATTATTGTTGTCCGAGGAAAATGATTTATTGATTAATTGAAATTACGAATTGAATTAATTACCATTATCAATTGTTTATGAATTTTTCTAATTTTTAATAAATTTGGATAATTATTTAATTATTTCAATAATTTTCACAATTCAAATTGTTATCTAACTGATATGATTTGAATAGAAAATTTTGTTTATTTAAAAAATGACGATTATGAAAAATACGAATTATCATTATTTTGAATTCAAAAATGCGGGGATTTTCCCGCGCTTAGCGCCACCGTGCACTCGTTACCTTCCGGTAATTTTCGTGATTACCGAATGGAAAAAGAGAGAGAGATAAAGAGAGTAATGCAGCTGGTGATGTGAGGGTGTAGTTGCACCGAGGTCGTCCTCGCCCTCGACATCTCATCGGTAATTTGTGAGATTATCCACTGGAGTTGAAAAATAAATCATCAGGAAAATCAAAATGGACTCTACCGAGGTGATGATTCTTGGTGACGATTTGGTGGTACGATATTGACGTGAGTGACGTATTGTTTTTTGTTCATTAGTCCAATTATTGGAGGAAAGATGAGACGTGATCAGATGAAAGCCCCTAGACATTTTCAGGGACAACAAGTGGGGAATGCCATTACAAGGAACTGCGTATAGCTGTTGTTCCTGAGAATTTATACTGGATTCACAGGAAAATTCATGAGACTCTATTGATCCTTCGTGAGGAAATTTCAAGAAAACGAAAAAAAAGTGACAAATTTCAGTGAAAAATTACGGATTCTTCTGACTCGTCATGGAAATTCCAAAACTAATCAGTGTCAATAGATAGAGGTTTTAAAATTCTGTATTCATTTTGAAGAATCATGGTATTCCATCAATCCCTGGTGAAGCAGAAGAGAGAAAAAAAATAGCAATAACCACAAACATTCGTACATCGATACAGCTATATGAAAATCACAGATTCGGAATTTTTAGGCTATATTTAGTTATCCTAACACTAAAAATTGGGAACTTAAATATGACCGAATACGAAGCTTCCATTCAGAAGCAGAAAGAAGGGTTAACGCACTGAATGGACCTTTCAGTTGTCATCATTGTGTGTCACTAATCTCCGGTGTCAAAGGAGTCACGAAAATATTCTTTCAGCAGAGGTATGACATTTTTTAAATCAACATTTATCAAAATTAAATAACTGAATCCAATAAATTCAGTAATAAAATTATTCAGGGAATTGTCCTCGGCTGTAAGTCGAAGACTATCGATTCAAGTCAAAAACGGTAGAGGACTTTTTTGTAGATTATTCAATCTCCAAAGAAAACAATCTTTTCGTATTTTTTATGAAAAAATCATTTAATCTCATTTTACCATTTCGCAAATGAACTACTTTTAATTCTCTTCGTTTTTTTAAATTTATTTTTATATTATTGTTTTTTTTTAGGGTTTAGAGATTTGGGGCCCATGAAGAGGTCAACAAGTGGTAAAATGAGTGGCAGTGGCCAGAGTTCCTCGGAAAATGGCACTGACCATGAGTGTGGATGGCAGGAGTGTGCTAGCTGGTTAACAAGATGTGGTGCATTGCGAGCTGATCACAAGGCCAATTGGCCGACAGCAACAGCCTTTGACCTTGCGTACACCCTGAGGGATGGAGTACTTCTCTGCAATCTCTTGAATCTCGTCGATCCTGGGTGCATCGACATCAAGGATGTCAGCCAGAAACCACAGCTCGCTCAGTTCCTGTGCTTGAGAAATATCAAATTATTTCTCACCGTTTGCTCATCGACTTTTGGACTCTCTGATTGCGATCTCTTCGAGGCATCTGTCCTCTTCGATCTGTCCAATTTTCACCAGGTGCTCTGCACACTCTCCGCTCTCTCCTATTCCTCCAGATTTCGTCGCAAGGGAATTCCGTTAGTACAATTTTTTCATCTACAGAATTTTTTATCGTGTGATCTAGATATTATTTGTTTAAATCTTGAACATTTCAAATCTTCAGTAAAAATTTATTTATAATATTTAAAATTCCTTTTAAAAAATTTATTCTTCTCTGAATTATTCTATTTCAATTTCCATTCCTCAATTTGATTTTAATGAATTCAAATCGCGAATCGTTTTTTTTTTTCATTTTATTAAATTCTCCAAAAGAATTCAAATAGGGGTAAATAAACTTCGAAATATTAAAAATTTCCAGAGGTTTTTCCGTTGGCACAGACAGATCCCAAGAAGATGCATACAAGGACCTCCAGAGTGCAGGAATCGGGTAAATATATATCTAAACATCTCTCTCCTCCACTCACATCACTCTTCCATCAATCATGAACCGTGAAAAATAATGTATATATACCCCCGTATATATACACGTGTAATTATAAATAATGTTAATGGATTTAGTGCCACAGCCCCAGTGGTAGATTTAACCGTAAAACCCCGGGCAGTGGAGCTTGATGAGTCGGATGTTTATCAGGAATTACTCTGCTTTTCAACAACGCCACATAACGAGTGGCTCTTCCCCAAGGAGGTACATTCCACCGTATGAATAATCACCAGATCATTTATTGTCTAGTGCTGGTGTTTTACTGTATGTCATGATGTGGCACTCTTATACGTACCAGCTGTGCCACTCCGACCCTATTTCATTGATTGTTTATTTATATTAGTTATTACATCAATCGGAAATGCGAGGCATCATTTTTCAATCTATTAACTAATTTATTCTTTTCGATCATTTTTTTAAATCGAGAAGATTTTGAATTTTTGATAAAATTAAATTTTGGAAGTATAAAAAAAATATTTTATCCAGTTATTGACACAGAAATACAAAATATCGAGACTATTTTTTATTATGGAAAAAAAATCGATTTCATGAAAATCATTCGTCTCATTTTACTATTAGATTCCCGAATTATCAATTTTAATGATAAAATTAGTTAATAAAATTGATTAATGACACAAAAATTGATGTTATCCCGTTCTCCGATTGATCGTCGAAATTTGTGAGCTACCACATTGCATGGCCAGTGTTTTTACACCCACCGAGTCACGATATCCAAATGAATTTTATTTTATTCCCACATTTTAATTTCGTTCTATATAATTTGCATCGAATTGAAAGACGAGAGAACGAGGGCCGACGGCGGAGGCTACGCAGGAGGGATGGGGATGAGGCAGGTAGTGGATTAGGGGACAGCGATGATGCTGTCAACGAGGAGGATGGGTACGGTGTTTATTGCAGTCATGCACAGAGCGAAGAAATCTACCAGGATTTGTGTAATCTCCATTTTCCACCTCCCCCATCTTCTGTACAGGTTAATATTCATTGTTTATTTATTATTTTTGCTCTCATGGCACTGCATGTGCATGAAAAAAAAATAAAAAACATCATATTTTTGCATAAATCAAAGTGGCAAAACGAGATTTTTACGTATAACTTCATCTATCGATTTAATAATAATAATAATTAATGAATAATTAATAATTATTCTATAATTATTGACAGAATTCAACTGATTGGAAATTAATTTATGAGAATTTATTTAATAATATTGTAAAATTCATTACAATGAGAAAAAATGAACAAAAAAATTTCGTTTCACCACCAGACGATATGATTTTGTCCTTGATGAGTGTTGAATTTCAGGGTGGAACGATTTCCGGTGGTGAAAAACGAGATTACGTTATCGAGGAGCTAGTGGAGACCGAGAAGAATTATTCAGAGGTGCTGAACAGTTTGATCCGTCATTTTGAGAGGCCTCTGGCATCACTGCTGCGCCCGGAGGACTCAGCAAGAATATTTTTCGGCATCAAAGACCTGGCGGAGATCCACACGGGTGTTCATGGTGCCCTGAGGAAGGCCCGCGACGGTGCAGCGATAGCCCAGGTGTTTCTCGATTGGAGGGAAAAATTTCTCATTTACGGTGACTACTGCGCTAATTTGACTTTAGCCCAGAACACACTCCAGGAGGCGTGTGCCAAGAATGAGCTGGTGAATCAGGAGGTGATAAAGTGCCAGCAAGAGGCGAATAATGGTAAATTCAAGCTGAGGGATATACTGTCAGTGCCTATGCAGAGGGTTCTGAAGTATCACCTTCTGCTGGATAAACTCGTTGAGGAGACGCCCAATGAGTGGACTGATGATGTCAGACAGCTGGGGAAGGCCAGGGAAGTTATGGTTGATGTTGCACAATATATCAATGAAGTTAAGAGGGACTCTGATACTTTGGACATCATTGAGCACATTCAGGCGTGTATTGTTGATTGGGAAGTTGCTCAGGACACCCATCTCAAGGACTTTGGCCGTTTACTTAGGGATGGTGAGATGAAAGTTAAGGCGCATGGAGATCAGAGGGTTAAGGCTCGTTATGTATTCGTCTTCGAGCAGGCGGTGCTCGTGTGTAAAGCAGTCAGGGGTGAGCAATATTGCTACCGCGAGACCCTGAAACTCGATGATTATCGGCTGGAGGATCTCGTTACGCGGAAGACTCTCGGCAAGGACTGCAGGTGGTCGTATCAGTGGCTTTTAGTTCATAAACAGGCGTACACTGCTTATACCCTTTATGCCAAGACCGATACACAGAAGCAGAGGTGGATCAAAGCTCTTGAGGATGCCATTGATAATGTCAGTCCAGCTGCCTGTCGGCAGACTACTCACAAATTTCGATTGACCACTTTTGAAACAGCCAGAAGCTGCCAGAGGTGTGGAAAATTCCTTAAGGGCCGGATTTTTCAGGTTTGTCTAAACTTTTTCAGGTTTATTTCATTTGGTTGTGTTGGTTGAGAATTCAGGATTGATTTATGGGAATTTTTTCAATTAAAAATGTGAAATTGAGGATTTCGAATTTTCAAATTTCAGGGCTACAGTTGTGAAGTCTGTCGACTTGCTGTCCACAAACAGTGCATTTTCTACTCTGGACGGTGCATGCTGGTGCCACCACCACCTCCACCACCTCCTCCAGTTCCCTGTGAGCGTGCGCTGTCAGCTAAATTGTGGTTTGTTGGAGAAATGGGAAGAGATCCAGCTGCTCATAAACTGGAACCCAGAGAGGATGGGACGTACATGCTGAGGGTACGACCAGCGGGACAACAGAGATTAAAACATGAAACCAATTATGCACTGAGTATCAAGTTAGTAAATCTATTTTTTTAATTCAACAACTTAAATACCCTGCAATCTCTAAAACTATCCATTTTTAGGAAAAATATCAAAAGACCTTTTTTCTCCAAAATGTAATCAGCTACAAAAAAGTTATTTGACTTTTTTATCTAAAATCGAGAGTTCTCGAAATATATCGAGTCGACGAAATGATAAATTCGATTTTATCAATTGGTACTGGATTTATTAATGATTATTGATATTTTCAGGGCTTATGGTGCAGTGAAACACATCAGAGTCTTCAAGAGGGACGTGGAGGGTGCTGACCTGTATTACCTGAGTGAATCCCGTTTCTTCAAGAGTGTCGTTGAATTAGTGGAATATTACGAACGTGCGTCTCTCTCCGAGAATTTCGAAAAACTCGATCTCCGACTCCTGTGGCCCTTCAGGAGGGTTTTGGCGAAGGCGCTATTTGATTTTCGACCTGTCGAGCGCAATCAATTGAATCTACGAAGGGGATGTCGAGTGGTGGTCCTCAGCAAAGAGGGAGACGCCAGGGGCTGGTGGAAGGGAAAAATTGGGGATCAGGTGGGATTTTTCCCCAAGGAGTACGTCGAGGAGGAGTGAGCTACCAGTGGCCCTAGTATAGCAAGAATTATTTTTTATTTCATGGAGGAATGTACAGGATTCATTGCATTTTTTTTTTTTTTTTGTAAATGTCAAACTCTTTTTTTTACAGTCTCTCAGGCTTTTTTAGAATATTTTTTTAGTGACAATTTAATGAACGTGTAAAATTCATTAGTAGATTTTTAATTAGTAAAAACTTTTTATTGTTCTTCCTGTACATCCTTGGAAATTAAAACTTGTATGATGTATCAAATCCAAAGAGATCCAGAGAGAATGAATTTTCCTGACTGCAGGAGAATTCAACTAGTCCCTGGACTTTAATAATTATCGATGATATTTTTATTGTTTCTATGATGATTTTAAGATGGAATTTTAACGTGGAATCATTGTTTCACTGTGTAACTTTTACTTAGATCTTTATATTAGTTAATTCGAAGTGACGGAATTTTTACATTACGAATTTTTATTGTTTCTATGATGATTTTAATATGCAATTTTAACGTGAAATTATTGTTTCACTCTGTAATTTTAAATTAGATATTTGTCTCAGTTAACTCAAAGTGATAGATTATTTTGATATCGTGGGATAAATTGAATTCACGCAAAATGCCTAAAATCAATTGCTGAATTTTGCCAGGTGCCCAGTGTTATTCGCCTCAATAACTTGGTTTTAAACATCGTAAAAAAATGTTTTCCGATTGTGCCAATAAGAAATCAGTTAAGTCAATGAATTATATACATAGATATAAATTTTATGTACATATTAAAAAAGTACACTATTTTATTTCTCAATCACAAATGGAGTTTTATCTCGAGAATCATTCACGATTGATTAATTCCTGTATAAAAAATTAATTGTTTAAAATGAGGATTTACAATCTCTTCTTCTGCAAAACAAAAACTCTCTCTCCAGAAAATTCAATTGAAAAAACTTTTTTAATAATTTCTGTTATAAAATAATGATCTGCTATTATTATTATTATTATCCAAATTATAATTGAAGTTTTTCAATTCAATTTAATAGAGAAATCTCAAGATTCAAATTAGAAATCACGATGATAAACAATAGAATTGACTTTTTGCTCAATTCTTTTGCATCCACTCTTGGCGTAGAGATTGTGAGGTGGAGGGCCATAAGTGACGTAGGACATCGCCTCCTGGATCATCTCCGGAGTTGGATCCCTCTGCCAATTGGCAAATGCAGCCTTGACACAGTTGATCACGTGCTCCTCCTCGAGAGGTAAAAATGGCACGTAGTGATCGATTAAGCTAGTCCTGATGGCGTCACTCTTGTGGAAGCCTCCCTTCTCGTTGAAGGCACCAACCGATATGAGATTCTCAAAATCACTGAGTGTCATTTCATTTCTGCTCCTCCCCTGCTGCCACAGCTCCGTCAACGTCTTGACAATTTCCTGACTTCCGGTGTTGGAAAGAAAAATATAGACAGCGCGATTTTTCTCAATTTCTCTCTGTCGTCCATCGAAGTGGACGAATCCGTTGCCGTAGTCCAGGAAGGGCACTAGGGCATTAAAAACTCCAGGAGTCATCATGTCAACTTCATCGAAGATGAACAAAGAGTCTGGACAATCCTTCAGAGCCTCGTAAATTCTCTCCTTCAAGTCTTCCTGGGGGAATTTTTTTTAATCAACGAATTGTGGAAGTTAAATTGGAATTATTAAAAAAGTCAATGGAATTTTATTGTATTTAGAGTGATTACGACACCTGATAGATCTCCAATCGACTCGCTAAGGGGAATTCAGTCCTTCCATTGAAGAAATGATAGTATTTGCTGTTCGTTCCTTTCTTGAAGTAAGCAGAAGTGATCATTTGAGCGACGTAATTTTTCCCACTCCCTGGTAGACCGTGGAAACTCATCGTCAGGGGTTTCTTCGGGGAATAAACAGCTGTATGAGCTGCCAAGGCACTTAGCACTGTTTTTGCAGCAATGTGCTGGCCAAACAGGTGATTACTCAGCTCCCTACGTAACCCTGAAACAAATCCACTCACGAAGTCCCTCAATCTCGTAAATCTCAGTTTAAAAATTACTCGAATTTATTTATTCCATATTAAACATTGCACCAACAATCTGATTATCAAAGTCAATTGTTTCAATGTGGATGGCTCTGGTAGATTCAGAGGAATCGTTGTTGAATTGTTTGGTGCTAATTTTTGGTAAATAAATAAAAAAATACCCACGAGGAATATTTTTCTCGACGTATCTTCCCTCGCAGCATTCCTCACGATCGCACTTTGATTTGTAGTGATGATAACCGTAATAAAGGAGACTTGTCAGTCCAGCTACAGCTCCTCCAGTGATGGGATCAATCAGCCCATCAGATCCTTCCAAAATCAGGGACAAGAGGAGGCAACAAATTCCACAAGTTCTCACTCTCATTTTAACTTACACTTCATTCAATTATGTTTCTCGAGATCATCAGAATCTCTGCATAATTAATCAGAAAATTCAAATGTCTACTTCTCCTGGATTTTGTTTATAAATCATGATGCCCTCCACTTTTTGGACATGTTGGCCATTTTCTAGGGGATAATAATTTCAAGGTCATGGTTGCCGGTACAATAGCAACATTTTTTATTTTCTTTTTTTGTTGGCCGACGTGTCCTAGGGTTTTTTAATTCCTGTAAAGCTATCGATATGTTTATTGAATCGACTTATCGAAATTTTAAAAATAAAAAAGTTAATTTAATTAATTGATTACATCCATTAATTATTTGATTAATTGGATTGATTGTATCAATTATTTATTTAATAAATTTTTTTCTATTGGTTCCGGATTTAAAAAAAAAATTGGAAAATTCGAATTTTTCAGAAAATTTTTTTAAAATCTTGAAATTGAAAAATCATAAAAGTTCATCTTTATTTTCAAATTACTTATCTCCATTAATGATTATCATTAATCATTATTAATGTTATAGTTATTGTAATTAATTTATTAATTATTCAATGCTTTAATTCTCAAATTGAAAATTTTATTTCAATTCTCAATTCTCAGTTGATGGAAATATTTCTCAATTAATTATTCGTCAATCTATTTTCATATTCCCCTCCAATATTTTAACATCGATATATATTCAACTCAAAATATCATGTATCGATATGAAACATCGATATATCGAAAAACGTGACGTGAGGCGCAGGTGTTTTTTTCCTGTTTGTTGCAGGAGAATAGTAGACTTCTCATTGTTGGAGTAATTAACTTCAATAAAATACAATAACAGATTCTCCGGGATAATCCTCAGCCCTCGTCTTCTTCAAAGAGTAAGTCCTGGAGATTTGAGAATTCCTGATGATGTGTTCCCACAAATTCCCGAGTAATTGTCCTTTCAACTCTTGAATCTCATTACCACAATTTTTTTTTTTCAATTTTCTCCATTTGTAAAACAATTTTCTAGTCGTGATTGGGAGGATCATTGCCCCGCGGGGATGGGGAGGAATTATTTATCTTCATTTTTTGTCATTGTTAGGTTAATCGAGGAAAATGGCGACCCCGGAGTCATCGTCTGAAGTCAAGTTGTTTACGAGAGCTGAAGTTTCTAAGCACAAGGACAGTAAAGACGCTTGGATTATTATTCATAACATTGTTTATGATGTCACGAAGTTTCTCAGTGAGGTTCGATTATTCTCCTCTTTTTTTTCCAACAATTTATCCATTTTTTTTGCGAATTATTTGTATTGAAAAAATTAAGAATTTCTCTTATGGAAATCAGATCCACTGATTCTTCCAAATTTTTATTAAAAAGTCCAATTTAGTCCAACTTTTACCTAGAAATATTATCACAAACATTTTTATACAAATCCCCTCGTTTTTTTATAATATACCAATTTTTTTTCGTCAAAACTCATCGGAATATTCGATTTTTCTACAAGAGATTCCATTAATTCTCTTAATCTCCCATAATTTATTATAATCTCTCGATTTATTAATGACAATCTAATTTGTTTATAAAACTATTTCAAACAAAAGTGGAAGTTTTGTTTAAAATGATTAAAGTATTGTATTTATTATTTAAATTGACCTTCCACTTCTGATATTTATTCTTATTCTTTTCGTTTCTCAACGTTGTTAATTTATTCAGCACCCAGGAGGTGAGGAAGTGCTCCTGGAGCAGGCAGGAGTTGATGGTACTGAACCCTTCGAGGACGTGGGACATTCCAGTGATGCCAGACAGATGATGGAGCCATACAAAATCGGAGAAATCGTCGAGGTAAATAAACAAAAAAAAAACCCAAATCAATTTCAATTCCTTCAAATTATTTTCATTTCTTCTCCATCCAGGAAGAGAGAAGTCCCTCGTCGAAGGGCGACAAAAAACGCGATTGGGCGAGTGGAGCTGGAGAGGACGACGGATCCAGGTATTCTCTTAATTTTAATTCCCTCGCACTCGAAATTCAAAATAATTCCCACAATTTCCCAAGCTTTTGGCCGTTTTAACTCTGCACTAACTCTTTCTCAGATTTATTCCAGTAAAATTGAAAGAAATACTGAAAATAGTACGCAGATGAGAGTAATCATCTCCTGAGTGACTCAACTGCTTTCTTCGTCTTTTGTAAAAACAAAATCAGTCCGGAAGTGGAAAAACGATGATAATCAGTCGATTACTTTAACTCAGCTAATTATTTTATTGGGTTGAGGGATCTGGTGGGTCTAACAGGATGAGATAATGATGGTTAATTAATTATTTATCTGGAATTCATCGTTTCTCCAATTAATGACTGACGAAATTTCAAATTCTCTCACTTTTAAATAAATGCAAATAGTCGCTGCTGCGTGGTGATGTGATGATTGGCAATTCCAGTGGTTCATGGAGATCCTGGCTGATTCCAATAACTCTAGGAGTCCTTGCAACCATCATATACCGTTACTTCATCGGTGCTCGCTGAAGAAATCATTCCTCAATGAGATTAAATATCTCCTCCATACTCTCTCCTTTTGCGCTTTATCAGGGAGTTTATAATCAAAGCTGAAAAGCGAGAGACGACGAACTATTGTTACAATTATACTTTTTATTATTTTTTACATTGTAATAGACGATCAGGGCCTAGTGATAAATACCATAAATATAACGAGTGTATTGAATCATTGGAAGAACTAGGATTTTTGTCGAGGGTTCATTAACGTCATTGCGGGATAATTACACTTGAAATTTCAAGTGGAACTTGAAGTTTTTTATGAGTGCATCAAAGAATTTGGGAATTTTTTGAAATTTCTAGTGATTCGCTATCTTCAGGTTCGAGGGCTAGAAAAAATTTAAATCATTCTTTGAAAAAATTTCTGATCATTTGACATGAACAATTAAATTTTCTTGAATTTTCAAGATGAATAATAAATTTAGTAAATGTTTTTAATAAAAATTCATTGAAAACTCAGTTGATTGAAAATTGAGATGACTTTGTCACGGAAAATTCAATAAATTTCTAAGTGTTGAGAGGAGTATGTATTTTCATAAAAATATAATTTCTCCAGGTGAGGCACCTCCGGGCGATCTCGAGTAGGTGTTAATTATGATAATCATTAGGTTGATTATGACCTTGAATAAACTCGAGCAATAATTATTAATATTGAAAAATTCCGTCAGGTTCTTCTTCGAAAATTCGGTATCTAAAGAAAATTAATAAAATTAATAATAATCAATGGAGTTTGTTCAAGGACATGTCTCACATTATCATCCTCTAGAGCAACATGATGATTATCATCAGAATCTAATCGGAATCGCGTGGGGATGACTTAATTGTAGAAACAATCTTTTGCGAAAATATATTCACCTCTCAAGTGAATGGATCCTTGGGGAAAATAATATTTATCATTGTATTGTCAGGATTGAGGGAATTGATCAGACGGGAAAATTTATCAATCGCAAAATAGGAATTAATTGCGTTGCAGCAGGCAGCTCATGTCAATTGAATCTCCATTTGTTCTGTTTATTTATGGAAATGAGAATTTTTCTGGTGTGAATTGATAATGTTGTATGTGTTGGAAGCATAATAAATCAAAGTTAAACATAAGACAATTTTACTAAGCCAGTTATTGCTGTATGATTTGGTGGATATTTGGGTGACAGAATTTAATTAGATGTCAGTCAATTTCAGTGATTTTCTCGTGCGTTGTCATGGCACTTGAAAATTCCCTCGAAATTCTGTGAAAATTCGGAAAAAATAAATTTGAGGAAATCTGGAAAACTCGTGATTTTTTCCTGAGTCATAAAAATTGAATTTTTCAAAAATCTGCATATGACCAATTCTGTCAAAATTCTGTCAAAATTCGGAAAAATTCAATTTGAGAAAATCTGAAAAACTGGTAATTTTTTCATGACTCGTAAATCTTGAATTCTTCAAAAAACTGCATATGACCAATTCCATCAAAAATTCCATCAAAATTGACAGAATGTATCAAACATCCGTGATCTCCTGGAGGTGTGAATAAACAAGTCAGTGGATGAATTGACATAAAAAAATCATCGGAAAAGCCTTATTTCGTCTGAGTGATAAATTGAAGCCATCGAATTGAATGAAGATTGACCGAGGGTGGTGGGAGAGGGGAGAGTATCGAGCGAGCCTCGGGTGAGTACTGGCGGCGCCGACGCCGGGGGAAAATCTACAGTCAGGAGCACCCGGTGGGGCACAACTGCTCACTCAAAGTCAGACCGTACATCAGTCTCTTCCATTGACTCCCAGCCGGCGAATATTCCATTGCATCACGCCCATTTTGTCACGAGTACTAGTACAGCAATTGCCACTGACTTGCCACTGACTTGCCACTGACTTGCCACAAATAACTCATCAATTTTTTCCCACAGCAGAAAAAAAAATAAGTTGAAGGGCCAGTTGGGACAATACTCTCCAGACTTTATCTTCTGCTTACACGAGGGAGTTTGAAATAAAGTGGTACCAGAAGACAGGACCAAGTGGTTGATATTATTTAACGTCAAAGTGTCATGAGAGGCGGTTTCACGATCCGCCCTTATTACTCCATCCTAGAGTCATGCATGCCGCGCCTTTTAAACGAGGTAAGGTCATTTATTCCCATTATTTTCCATTTTTTTTTTTCTCATTTTATTTTATTTTTTTAATCGAGAAACAAGCAAATACTGGGACTCAACGAGAAAATCTTCCTCGCCGGGTTTGTGACGGAATTTCTTGGGATTTAAGGGGATTATCAGGATTTTCATGAGAATCTTTTTTGGAGGGGGGAATTTAGGCTACAAAAAAGGTTCTGATCGAAATTTTGCTAGGTCGAGGGGATTCGCTGATATTTCTGGGGAAGGTACGCGGTGGATGGAGCGAAGTGCTTTTTACGTTTTTGGGAATGATTTTTCGGGTTTTGATTTTATTATCTGGAAGGAGGGATGATCGATTGATTGGGTTGGAATTCTGGAGGGTGTTTTTAAATTTTCTTGATGCATTTTGTTTATTTAGTTAATTGAATCGATTCAATGAGTGATGGTATTGTTTCGCGCCAATTTAAGGGGCGACGCGACTCGTTTATTTTCGTCGCCTTTGGACTGACCGAGAATAAAAGTTGAACGTGCGAGGAATGGCGCAATTAAATTGGGTTTTTCATCATTCGGGGATTATGATTATTTATTATTACATTTTTTAGAATAAATTGATTTACTCCCCCTGGAAAACCGAAATTTCCAAAAACTAAGAAGAAACTCGCGTTTCTCAATTTTCAATATCTCCAGATTGGCTGAGTGAAATCCAAAAAAGTTAACGCCATTCTAGAGCCCTCTTTGTCATCTTCAAAATTAATTCGGACCTCTTTTAAATCGCATCATTGGATCAGAAGATATGAGAGAATCCCAGGGAATCCACCTTGCTTCACCCTTTCCCACCCCAGCTCTACAACTCCCTCCAATTTCTCATTTATCTCGAGAAGAATTGATTTCTGGGACAAACCTATTGGACCTTTTCTGTACCCAATGAAATTCCAAACAAAAAATGTCTTATCACTTTTTCCCCTGGAAGCTCATGTCTTTGAGATAATTCGGCATTTTTAACTCTGGAAAAATAAATTCGCCCTTTTGCGCTCTGAAATAATATCCCAAATGCATTTTGCAACTAAATAAAGTCAAAGCATTTGCTGTGCACTTATAAATTGCCGTCACCTTGAGTTCAATTGATTGTCTACACGAACGGGTATAAACGCTGTGTTCGATACATTTGGGGGTATAATTGAATCGGATTCACCCCGTCAATTATCCGAATAACAGCTGACAATTCCCACGATAAATTATTCATCAATCGTCAATAAATTCCCGTGATTTCGACTTATGCAATTCTCCCGGCAGTAGTGCAAACTTTAATTGCGTCGTACCGTGTCGTTGGATAATAATGGAAAAAGGGAAAATCCCGTGAAAATTGTTGACTGAATAGCATCAATTTTTCTGAACTGTTGGACGAACTTCAAGGAAAGTGTCAAGTGCAGACTAGTTTTTTTTTAAACTATTTTTCCATCTATTTTGGTCGCCCTCATGATGGCGACTGATCGAAATAACTACCTCCGACGCTATTAAATATAGAAGTCGAAATTTCCCGCTCCTTTTATTTAATATTGACACGTTCATCCGTTCCCCGCAGTTTTACCCCTTTTATTTAAATATTCCAGTCATTTATTGAATTTATACAGAATTTTTTGTATTTTTTTCCATTTTTTTACAATAAATAACTGCAATTTCCACTTCAATTAAAAATTAAAAAATTGTACAATCGAAATAAACAATTCTTCTAGCATAATAATAATAATAATATAAATGCAATATTACATAATTTTCCAATAGAAATTATTTATTATTATTAATTTATTCCGCGAATGATTAAAAATATTGAAATTACGTTATAAATATTTTATTAATAAATCTCCCTATTTTTTTTATCAATCTTTCCCCGAGGATTAACTTTAATAAAAATTCAAGAATTGAAATTGAAATTGATAGTATATTATTATTTATTTCTTTACGAGATTTTTAATTGAAATGATAAACCACTAGTGAAACCGCGTAACGAGTGGACAATGAGAAATGATAAAACGCAACTCCGAGGCTCGAATTACCTCCGAGAATTGAATGACTTTTTTGCGTTCTAAAAACTGATACCAACGCGCAGATGATCAAAAAGAGTTGAATGATTCCTCAATGAGAAATCGTTTCCTGAATATTTGTTTACGTTACTCATCGTTTTTTTTTCATTACCATTGACATTTTTTTTCTCGGCATTGAAGGAGACGTTCAGGTCAATAATTAATGGTCAGCGCTCGCCTTTAGACACGTGTCCACGTCTCTAAATAATTCCAATACACCAGATGACAATTTCCCCCTATTAAAACCGAAATCATTGGAGTAATAAATTCCTCAGAGAATTGAGACGCCACTAGTTAAATAATAAGAGTCTATTCGCATTTTATCTCATTGCCAGAATTAATCCGTCAATTTCAGAAATATCAAATAATTGAAAAAATAACAATAATAAATAAAATGGAATTAATAGACTTTTACAATCTATTAAATTTCCCGCCATATCCACCAAAAAATATTAATCGTTTTAATAAACAATATGAAGAGTAATTATTGCAATGCAGATATTGATGATAATGCAATATATGTTTTAAACAATTGAAATGCTAATTAATTTTCTTGGAATAATAATGATAAAAAAATGATTTCAGCAACTGGCAGGGATGAGAGAGAGCCAGGAGATGGTGAAATTGCTGGTACAAGTGATGGGCCAAAGAATTGGCGTAACCGTTGGAAATTCCGTCGAAGTGACTCGTACGAGACAAATGGATTGGGTTCACCTGTGGTGCACGACCAAACGGGAAACGAAGGGTGCGGAGGGCTGGAGGGGAAGGACCCAGAGACGAACGACACTGTTCACCTCAAGAGACGGGTGGGACTCGTCAGTGGGGTGGCTTTAATCGTCGGTACGATGATTGGATCAGGGATATTTGTCTCACCATCAGGACTTCTAGTCCGAACTGGTAGCATTGGAGTTAGTTTCATCGTGTGGACAGCCTGCGGTGTTCTCAGTCTTTTTGGTGCACTTGCATACGCTGAGCTTGGAACAATGAATACCAGCAGTGGTGCTGAATACGCCTACTTCATGGATGCATTTGGTGCACCACCAGCTTTCCTCTTCTCCTGGACATCGACACTAGTTTTAAAACCCTCGCAGATGGCCATCATTTGCCTATCATTCGCGCAATACGCGGTCGAGGCTTTTGCCGTTGACTGCGAACCACCTGAGCATCTTGTCAAGGTCGTTGCACTTCTTGCAATTGTTCTCATACTTCTTGTCAACTGCTACAGCGTTAATCTAGCGACTGGTGTGCAGAATGCATTCACTGCTGCTAAATTAATTGCCATTCTTGTGGTTATTGCTGGGGGCACTTGGTCTTTGGCCAAGGGCAATACTCAGCATCTTCGGGGTGCATTTCAACCGATGGATGGGAAGGATCTTATCAATGTTGGAAGACTTGCAACTGCTTTTTATACTGGACTCTGGGCCTATGATGGATGGAATAATCTTAATTATGTCACTGAGGAGATCAAGGATCCCTCCAAGAATTTACCAAGGTCCATCATGATTGGCATTCCTCTTGTCACTGTTTGCTATGCTCTTATCAATCTGTCTTATCTAGCTGTCATGTCACCCACGGAGATGATCGAGAGTGAAGCTGTTGCTGTGGTGAGGACATTTTTTTTTTGACTTTTCAATGAAATTAATTCAGGGTCAGATGAACGTGAAGGAGATGTTGAATTATTTATTATATATTCTTCTCGTAGACGTTTGGCAATCGTATCCTTGGGGTGATGGCGTGGCTTATGCCATTCTCGGTGGCTGTTAGCACTTTTGGATCAGCAAATGGAACACTTTTTGCTGCCGGACGACTGTGTTTTGCTGCTTCGAGACAAGGACATCTTCTCGATTGCCTCAGCTATGTGCATGTACGTCGATTCACACCTGCCCCTGGTCTCATCTTCCATTCCCTCGTCGCTGGTAAATATTTGATGTTTCGATTATCGTAAAGATATTAGTTTAAATGGCAGGTCTCCAACATTTTTTAGAATCATTGACTTTAGAGGGGAATATCCACGACGTTTTTTGAAGGGAATTTTATCGGCTACAGAAAAATTTCATAGTATTTTTGTCGTAAATTCAATGAGTTATAAATAAATCTTATAATATAATTAAGAAAATATTATGATTCGGCTATTGACTGTTTGATAGCTACCATGGTACTCTCTGGGAACATCGACTCCCTCATCGACTTCTTCTCGTTCACTGCGTGGATATTCTACGGTGGCTCGATGCTGGCACTCCTGGTGATGCGAAAAACCAGACCAAATCATCCTCGGCCGTACAAGTGTCCGCTTGTTATACCAATTCTCGTGTTAGGGATATCCGTGTACCTGATTGTTGCTCCGATCATTGATAAACCGCAGATTGAATACGTTTATGCCGCAGCTTTTATCGCTGCTGGCATGTTTGTCTACCTCCCATTTGTTAAGTACGGATATGTCCCCAAGTTTATGGGTAAGAACTAATTACTCTAATTACTCTAATTACCAAAAATTCCAATCAAAATAAATGACAGCTTTTAAAAATATCTAGACCTTCTATCTGATTATTCATTAGCAATAATTCTACTTTCATCTTTTCTGAGTCAAAATAAAATAATCATTTTAATAATTATTATTAAAAATATTTCAGAGGCTGTCAATGTCTTTCTCCAAATGCTGTTGGAAGTGGCGCCAACCGCTGCCTCTTACGATTGATTAAAAAATATTTTCGGAATAATTCGTAAGGAATTGAAGGGAGATAAAACGATTTATCGACGCCGAATCATTCCATTGGGGCGTCAGATAAGATTATTTATATAATAAAGAACTATATTATTTTATTACTTGTTGTCGAGTAGATTACAGTGAAATGATGGTGTAGAAGAATTGAGATTGTAGATCATTAATAAAACATTTTAAACAATTCCATCACCTCTTGATTTTCCTATCCACTTTTCCATAAACATCCAGAATTGTTGATTGCCTTTTTCTTTTAGTTTTGGTATTGATTTTTGTTAAGCTGTGGGTAAGACCTGATTCCTGTTTCTTCGCTCTCGCTCTTTCTCTTGATTTTTTCACCTTCAATTGCTTGTAGTTTTCGTTTTTTCGATTTTTCACTGGCTTTCCACCGAGTTGGAGGACGAGGGCGACTTTAGCCTCATTTTTTTTAGCTCCAGTGAATCCAGAGGCACCGAATTTCATGACGTCCCATCGGAGTCTTTTCATCTCGAGCTCCTGCTGACGCTTCAAGTCCTCAGGGGAGGGTTTAAGGTCATCTCTTCGGGGGTTTATCGATTTATCAGCTGTCGAGGGGGTTTTCTTCTTGTGGGAGGTGTACGTCACACTCACGAAGTCTTTTTTAGGGGTTTTTTGCTGATGGGCACAACGTGTTGGCACAAAGTCATCCATTGGCACCTGGAAAATAAAATTCAGATGTCACACACGATTTTAGGATGGAATTGCATACCTTTTGCAAAAGAAATTCGGATAACCTCTTCGAGTTCACGTGAGGTTGTTTGTTGTTTTTGGAGAATATGATCATGAAGACGTCGACGAGGGGGAGAATCTATCGATCTTATCGACAATCGGTAATTAATCGAATTTTTATGAGTGAAACCCGCGGAATTCAAATTCTTCGGATATGTTTTTTTTATTTTATCTTAAATAGTTGTGATTAATTTGGGGGGAGTTGTTTTATTATTAACCATTGTTAATTATTTTTTTTATTAATAGTGAAATGAATGAGTTTTTTAATCAATAAATAAATAAATATTATTAATTCAGTCAATCATAAATTTTATATTCGTGTCCGAGAAATTCAAATTAGTTTGTCATTCTTTACTAATAACAGAATCCATCAATATTTCTTGGGATTCAATTAATTAAATTAATTAATAATAACAATGAACACCTAATAAACTTGAAAATATTTTGATTCCCTAATTTTTTTATATCAATTTTACAATTTGTATGAAGGGAATAAAATATCCTCTGAAATTCCAAAAATATTTTGAAAAATTCCTCTTTCCAATGAATTTCAATTTGTCACTTAAATTGAATCTTTCTCTAACTAAAAAAAATGGAATTTCTTCTTAATATAATTGTTATTGCTTTCCGTTTTGCAATTTCAATCTCATCCACTCGATTCAACAAAAAAAAATTATAATAAAAACTGATAGAAAAACCGATGAAACACGTAAACAGAAAAATCCCAAGATCGTGGGTTGGCGGGAGTTCGATTCGAAGGTCAGAAAACCGCGCCGCCTGATTGGTCCCTCATTCAGTAGCGCCCCGCCCCCTGGGGACTTCGGCATTAGTCCGAGAGACGCCGAAGTAGCCGGCACTTCTTCAATTCTTCCTCCTCCCCGAATTCCTGATAATTCCTTATAATTCCAAAACAACTTTTTTCCCTGCAAATCGGATTACAAAAAACTAGAAGAATAAACCGCGAAAAATTCCGTGAGTGTTACCTCACCCTGAGACCTTGAGGAGAACCATAAATCTTTCTTCACCGTAAGTGTTGAGATTTTTTTTTTCAATCGGAAGAACAAAGAGCTCTTCATTCCCCCGGATAATCTTTATTCCAGATATATAATATGGCGGGGATAAACGACAGATCTCGTGATGAAGTGGTGCGTTCGATCGTGTCCCTCCTGGTGACAGAGAAGCCCCCGTACAACATTACGATACCAAAATTAGAGTCGATTTACCGAAACACCGAGGACGAGAGGATTCCCTACAGAGACCTCGGGTACCCATCGATCATCGAATTTCTACGATCAATTCCCCAGATTGAGCTAACCACACGTGACGGTACGAATTTGATTAATTTCCTGGGCTCGGAGAAGAGTCGAGGTGTTAGTGAACTCGTGGCTAAACAGAGATCAAACCCGAAGAACACCAGGAGTCGGTCTGTGTGTCGACGTGGCATACCCTCAGGTTATTTTCCCAGGAGTCACAGTGCATTTCCATCGAGGAATAACGACGTAGCCAGAGGCAATGACAATATTTCCAGGAACAACGAGAATACCTCCAGGATTTTTGAGAATTCATCGAGGCTGAGCTCCGAAGTGCTGGAGGTTCTCCAGAGGTCGGGTAATGGACTCTCGAAGACGACATTGTTGCATAAAATGAGGGAAAAACGTCTGGGATACATCGACATGACGAGTCTGAACGATATTTTGAATAATCTCGGTGGAAAAATTGTCGTCAAGGACAACGTGGTGTTCTCGCGGACAGGAAGTCAGGAGATCTCGTGGGACAGGAGTGAACCTGTGACGCCGAAACCTGTAATAATAAAAAACGATCACGTGGAGACTAGAGGAAAAATGGAGGACTTCTTTGAGGATGATTTTGAGTTTGAGTCCAGAGGAAATATTACCCAGCAGTCCGGACCCGCTGGAAACTCTCTGAAGACTGCACCTGAGGTTCCAGTGGCGTCAAAATTGTCAGAAGTGTCGGAAGTGCCAGTGGGCCAGGGAATTTCTAACGGAAGTTCGAGGGCAATTCCTGCACTGGACGATCCCAGGACTCAGGCTGAGGTGGATCTCGTTATTGGCTCGAGGATGAGATTCAGACTTGAAAAACTCATCCAGAATCGTCCCCAGGGCATCTGGTGTGCAGAATTGGCTAAAGTTTATAAGGAGGAATACAATTTAGATCTTACCTGGCAGGAGCTGGGGTTCAACAGTCTCAGTGACCTTGTTCTTCATCTTCCTGATATATTCCGATGTGTCCAGCCAAGTCCATCTGAGGATTTTCGACTGTTCGACGCCAAGAATAAGGACCAGGGAATTCTCCCAATGAGGAGCACCCTCAGCTCGATTCATCAAATTTATATGGACCCTGAGGACGATGTGAAGGCTGTCCCCACTGGATTGTCTCCTCATCAGATTAATAAACTCATTCCTGAGGATGTTATGCTCCTTGGGGAGACTGTTGGACAGGTGCTCATTGACTGCTTCAATCAAGAGGACAAGGGGTACGAGGAGGTCGTCGTCTGTGACGCCTTCACTCCCTCTTTCTTCTGGATTCATCTCCGGAGGAAGGTTCTTAAGCTCGAGGCCATGATGGAGAGACTGCAGGATTTTTATGCGGCGGCTGGGGATAATTACAGTGTTCCTCTCATTGTTCTCGAGAAGGGGCTCAATGTTGTATGCAAATTCTATGGAAAATGGCATCGGGGAATTGTCAAGGCTGTCGATCCTGATGCTGAATCCACTACTACTGTTTTGTTCTATGATTATGGAACACTTCATACGTATCCAGCAAGTGCCATGCACTTTTTACACAGGAAATTCTCACAGCTACCTGCACAGGCCATTCCATGTGGACTTTATAATATCAAACCAGTGGAGGATTCAGCTGTTGTTGGCTCTGATGGCAAGGCCAGGTGGTCCATTCAGACAAGTCGTCGATTTGTGCAGAGAGTACATGATAAACCACTCGTCGCTATTTGTGGGAAGATGTTTCCGGAGGTGAGATCTAGCAGATATTTTAATCGACATTCATTCATTTTTTTTTGTGTCATTTATTAATCAAAAACTATTGATTCGACGAAAAATTTTCAAAAGAGCTTCTACTTCGGACATTTAAGCTACAAAAAAATATTTGGAAATTTTTTTTGTCAAATCGACAGGTTTCTAGATAAATTGATTATTTTAGACATTTGTTTTAGGTCTAGCCTGATAATTATGTGACAATGAATTACCAGAATATTTACTCGGAATTTTTTTCGTCTTCTCAGAATAATTCCATGCTGCTGAGCCTGACAGATACATCCAGCGAGGATGATGTGAACATCGCTGAGTGGCTGGTGGAGAATGGACTAGCTGTTCACGGTTCGATGGTTCGTATCAGGCCAAAAAATTTCCTCTACAAGTATTTCCTCACCTGTAAACCCAATCCGTTATCAAAATTATCACCAATTGTAAAGCCCCCGCCCCCAGTTGACGTATCAAAATTATCGAACAGTGAGAAAAGAGTTGTCAGTAAAATCGAAACTTTAAGAGCTAAATTGTTGGAGATTGGGAGAGTTAAGCGTGAATTCAAGTGTCTCCCTAAATGTCCCACGTGTGGGCAGTTGATTGAAGGAAGAGAAGAAGTCATAGATGCTGGTCAGGTGAATGGGATTGAGTCTGATCATGAAGTGGTTGATGAAGTCCCTCGACTCGATCCATTTCGCGTTAAATCAATTAGCCATTGGGTAGACACTGGCTTTTTAATTACGGGAGATACTGTTGCTCCTGATGCCGCTTCTGCATGGGATGAGGTTTTTATTCAAGATGAGATAAAAGGTGACAATCAAATTGATGATAAAATTAAGGCTGGAGTTGGTGGTGGAATTGGAGCTAATGTTCAAGCTCAAATTAAAGCTGCTAGAGCTGAAGTTGAAGCTGAAGTTGAAGCCGAAGCCGAAGCCGAAGCCGAAGCCGAAGCCGAAGTTGAAGCCGAAGCAGGAGCCGGAGCCGAAGCTGACGTTAAAATTAAAATTGCTGCAGCTGGAGCTGAGACTGGAACTGCAGTAGAAGCTAAAATGAATACTGAAGATAAAGCTCAAATTGAAGCTGAAGAAAAAATTGAAGATGAACCTGAAATCACTCGAATGCCTCTCCACCTGATCTCTCCAGCTCCTCTCTCTGCAGATGATGCAGTATCCGAGTGGGACGTTGTCCTGAAACCCAAGAGGCAGTGCCTGGCTACGGGGGTCATCGACTGGGACACCCTGAACATCACTGACAAAAATCCAGCCCCAAAACCAGTGGACAAACTCGAGATCCTCAAGAGCATTCCCAAACCAAAACGAGAGATCATTGAAACCGATGAACGACTTACCTACGATGGAGGATCCATCGGGAGGCATTCGTCCTTGGAGGAAGACGAAGATGAGATGTATGAGATGATTCAACCGATCATCAGGCAGGCGTTGAGAAATAATCGAAAGCCCCTGAAAGCCTCCAGAGTTGTCATCCGCGGATCGTTCTTTGCTCAGGGGTCTATGCGAAAAGCTTCAGATGTCTCCGGGTCATCCCGATTTTTCTCTCAATTTCCATCTGGTGTGAAGGAAAATTCAGGGAGTGATGGAACATCTAAATTTAATGATGAGGAAGGGGAAACACTTGGGGTAGAAGGAGAGGAAGAAATAGAAGAAATAGGAGAAATAGAAGTTGCAGAGAGCGAAAATATTGAAGTTGAAGAAAAGGAAGACCCGAGGAAAATCAAATTTTCTTCTCCACGGGATCCAATTGACTCATCAATTCCTCAGGAAAATTCCAAGGTGTTGATCGAAGAAATCGCCTCGAGTGAGGAAGAATTAAATGATGGAGTTGATGCAGTAATTGAAGACGATTATGACAAGAGAACTCCCCGAGTTCTGGTTGAAACTTCATCATCAGGTAGTGATAACGTTGAAATGGTCTCGGTGTACGCTGAATTCTTGAAGAAATCCCCACACTTCAGGAAACAAATACTCGAGGCTAAAAGGTTCGACGAATCCCTCGAGCTGGACTCGGATGATGAAACGAGTGGAGTCTCAGCTGATGAAGGGCCTCCAGAAGATGAAGAGGTCGATGAAGCTGTTGATGTAAAAACAGATGAGATCATTTCCAGTGGATCGATATTAAAATCAAATGACGATTTGGAGATTAATGATGCGAAGAGTCGAATAACTAATGGAAATATTTCTGGTGATATTCTAGTTTTTGATGATGTCGACCTGGAGGATGATTCCATGTTCGATGATGAAGACTTCGATGTCTATTTCGCTGGCGAAGACGTTTTTTGCAGGTTTAAAAATCAATTGATCAATGCGGATACGAAAAAAATGATTGACTGTTCAAAAGAACTTCCTGATGATGTCGAGGAAGTCTTCAGAGCCCCTGAAGACTCTGACAAATCAATCGTAAGTGTTTCGACACTAAGACTCTTAAGTTCTCAGCATAATTGACAATGTCCATTTCAGATTTTATTCAATTCCATTCTCTATAATTTTGATACCGACATTCGGGGCTGGCACTCCGTTATCGAAAGTCAATTAAAAATACTTCCTGTTAGTTAACAAGTGGATAAACAATTAATTGAGACACTGACGAAAACAATTTATATAGATAGATAAAGATATCTAATTACAACAAAAAACGCACGAACTGTCGAATGAAGAGTCTCAAGACAATTAATTAATTAAAAACATTGTAAAATTCTATCAGAAAACGGTAATTAGATGGAAGCATCTAATTGCAATTGACCGATGCCTTTCAACGAACAGATGTAAAAAATTTTATAAAATGAAACGATTAATAAAAAAGGGCAGAATAACATAAAAAAAAAATCGTGTCTTCATTTATCTCCCCCTCTGTTTTCAGGGAATTCTAATCGATCCCAATGACTTGAACCTCTACACAGAGGATTACGACTGGCAGAATGGAGATGGGCAGGAAGATGCTATCCTGACGCCAAAGACACCTTCAGAGATGGAAAGCAATAATCAGATAATTCAGGATCTCCTGGCACAAGGTCAATTAGCAAAGACTCGATTGATCGAACGTGGTGTGCAGCTGTTGGGGACAATCGATGGACTGTTGGCCTCAAATCCTAAGAATCCAAGAGAAACACTGAATAAAAAGCTCATCCTCATGGTGAAGGAGATGATCCTGGAGGACTGGAGGAAATTCTCATCGGAGAATCCCAAGCATTCGTACAATTTCTGGTCGTCATCGATGGACAGCCCATCAGTGACAGTTGATGATGTTCTGGTGAATGGTACACATGACGTAGCATGTGGTACTGATGAGTTTGATGAGACACTTGATGACCTGGAGGTTGTCTTCCAGTCGTTGAGCACTTCCCAGGGAATTGACAGTGTCAATGGCAATCTGGAGTCGCAGGTGTCATCTGAGGTGTATAGAAATGTCAATGATTTCGATGGTCAGGATCTGGAGGACCTGGGGTCATTCCACTCGGACAGCTCCATGGGAATCCTCGATGATGGTGAGGAGCTCCACTCTGGGTACGATCTACTCGATACAAATCCATTCAAGAACTGTATCCTATCCAACTCTCAAACACCTGAGGTACAGGAGATAGCATTCTCGCCCATTCCTCCAACCATTCCTCCAACCATTCCTCCAACCATTCCTCCAACCATTCCTCCAACCATTCCTCCAACCATTCCTCCAACCATTCCTCCAACCATTCCTCCTCCCATTCCTCCACGCACCAGGAGATCCCCCAGTATTTCCAACCTCTCCCACACGCATGAAGACACACTTCTGCATCTGGAGAACACTGAAGTCCTCAATCATCAGGAGAGGATGAACATCGAGATCTTGAACAACAATTCATCCCCACAGCAGAATAAATCCTCAAATTCTCGTCATAAATCTGATACTCGATTCCAGGATAAATTCCATGAGAACACCCCAGGGTACAGCTCCAGACCTACAGTTCCTCCCAGAACTCTACGAAGAGACACTAATGAAAATCGATCTGTCAGTGAATTAAGCTCAACCCTCGATATTCCATCGACAATTCACGATATCGAATCACCTGGAGTTGATTGTCTTCAGGTTGATCTCTGGAGAGGTCCTATGTTCGTCTTCTTTATGGAGGGCACTGGCTGGATCACCATCGATCAGTTCAGAATGGCATTCACTGATTTCCCTGATAGTCTTCTCATCAGGAAGCGTCTTCTGGAGCGACGGGATGACACTTGCTTCAAGATCATCAGGATGAGAGAGCATTCGGAAATTTTTGCGATTATCAAGGGCAAGTTCAGGGATGCTGGTATCTATCAGGATGAGCTGCACCATTTCTATCTCATTCCTGTCAATATTTTTCTGTTTAAAATGGTCAGGGCATTTAATATCGTGACCCTCGAGGACTTCAGGAAGTTCAGGGATGGCAATGGTGTCACTGATCATAGGGTACTCAAGGAGTGCTCACAGATACTTCAGGTCTGTCAACAGGTCACTGGACGTCTTTAGATTCCTCAAGGGTTATTTAAAAAATAAGTCTTTAGGGTAATTATTCAGTATTGATTACTGCAGACTTTCTTCACTTTTTTTTTCTCGTTCATTCGGTTTTCACTATTTTCTTTTTTTATTGTAGAACTTCATTAATCACGTACCATGTAATTATTATTTAATAATCGTTTGATAATGGATTAACCAGTGGTCTCATTGAAATTTATCATTGAGTTTATTTTAGTTAAGAGACGAGTGACTGCTGTTCAGTTTTTTTTTTATTCGAGAGATTTTTCTGGAAAAACTCTGTTAAGATGGTAATAAATGTGACGAATTGGTCTTTTTTTTTTTTGATAATTTGATTGTTTTATTGGGGAACAAATGAGGGGGATTTTGGGAGGCGTGGTGGGGGGCGTTTTCGAGAGGAGAAAATATGGGGGATGAGAAAAAATTGAGGGAAACTGATGAGAAAAAGGGGGGGAAGGAGGAATTACCAGGGGATATCACTACATTCTACTCCTACTTTCTGAATTTGTGGACGAGACTGAAAGCCAAAAGTGAGTGGATTTTTTGGTTTATTTTATTCATTTGCACTGTCAATGCCAAAAAAATTATATTACCATTTATAGATTACTCTTTAAAGTGGTATGTAAATATTTCTATTCATCTGCTTTAGAAATATTAAAAAATTGAACCAAATTTGAAATCTGAATAAAACATGAACATCACATAACTCATGAATAATTGATTTATCTTGAAAACTACTGATTTCCGGTGAAAACGTTGAAATACTTTTATATTGTTGAATAAATTTTCTATAAAAAAGATCTTTTGATGATTTTTCTGAAAATCAATAGGTTCTGAGTTCTGTCGATATTTATCTGATTTGTCTCATGCAATTTTACCAAATCTTTAATTGTTTATCATAACCTTTAATTTTATTAAAATTGTTTATAACATTGAATTAGATTTCTACAGGGTTGTCTTCGACTCCAAGAAGTTAAAGGCAGTCACGATGATCGGTAAAATCGAAGAGGAAATAAAGAAATTGTTTGAAAAAATCGAGAAAGAGATTGGGGATTTTGATCAGGAAGTGGAGGAGCTGAAGGGACAGACGGATGATGTCAAGAGGATAAAGGGAATTCTCACCGAGTACAAATCGACTGTCCAGAAGATTCTCGAAGAGTACTCAAAATCCTTGATCGAAATGAAAAATAAAATGACAAAGGACGTGACGACGACAGAAGAATTGACTCAATTCGCTAAATTCTCGGAAGTAAAATTCAACGATTTGAAAAAAACAACTGGTGATCTGACAGATTCCCTGGAGACCTCAGGATCCGATTCGCTGAAGAAGAATCTAAACAATACCCTGAAGGAGAGCAATGAGAGGATTACGAGCGACTTCGCCAGTCTAGTGGAGAATTTCAAGGTGAATACATGCATAAAACGATAAAAATTATTCATTCTCATGAATTGTCATAGATGAATTGATTATCTTGGGAGAAATGTCAGTGAAGTCGAAGGGATTAAAAAATTCCTCGTCATTATAACAATTTGACAGAGTCCATTGCAATAAATCTTGAATCGATATTTTTTTACAGAAAATTCAAGGAGAAAAGCCAGTGCCTCCCAAGCTTCCTCTATCAGAGCTGAAAGTTCCAGACGTCCAGAAGACAAAGGTCTCCTCCAGTTCGAAGGATCTAAAAACTGTCCCCAAGCCTTTAATCCCTCCCGAGATCAGAGATAAACTCAGGAAATTCAGCTTTACGAAACATTTCAATTCTGAAACTGTAACAGGACGGGCGAATGTGCGTAGACTGCGAATAAATTGATTGATTCATTTTTTATTAATGATTTTTTATGGTTATCTTGCAGGTGGCGAGGCTCACGATTTTTGGGGTTGTCCTGGGGTTTCTTTACTGGCGCCGAAAGCGATCGCAATCTCAGAAATGAGTGATAGATAATTTTTAGGTAAAATCGGGACTTTCTATTTTTTTTTTACTGGCAATAATACAATTTTGGGGAAACAATGATTATCTCATTTGAGCATTAGGTTTCAGCGCTATAAATTATTGTCTTGAGTGCATTCTTTCAATAATTCATATTTCTATTGAGGAATTACTCGAAATTCCTTCGAGAAGAACGAATGGAAGAGAATTATTCTTTATAGTAATTTTTCTAATTAAAAAACCAAATGAAATCGTCTGAAAGTCGATTTTTAAAATATGAAAAATCCTCTGGAAATAGCGAAAATTTTCTAAAAATACATTTTTCCTAAGATAAATTCGCACCAGAAGATCGCGGGAAAATTTTCCAATGAAAACTCGAACTGCGGTTTTAAATGAACGTTCATATTTCCCGCGCGTATGTCAAGTCGATAGCAGCGCTCTCGGTTCGATTCGACTGTTCCGATTGTCCGGCCGACGGCGTGGGTATTCACAAAATGGCGGCCGGTGAAGCAGCTGGCATCCACGTGTTCTGAGGATTTTCGAGGAAATAAGTGATAAAATAATTGAAATAATTAATAATTACAAAATGGAGGGGCTAGAATGCGTTTCAATGGTCGTTTTGACTGGTTATCGATGTGAATTTCGAGGGTTGGGGGCATGTGAGTGATTATTGTGGTGAGTGTTTGTTCTTGAGTGAGTGAATCTTGTTAGTGCCAGGAGATGAGGCCTCCTGTGCAATTCTGGAGGAAAACCGTGAGTTTTTTTCATTTTTTACCAGATTTATCGCATTTTTATTTTCCAAGAAAATGATTTGAGGAATCAGTGGACATAAATTTTGAGCATAAAAAAATGTAATCCATATTTAACGGTTTATAAGAAGGTCCAGTGATTTTTTAATCTTTTGTTATTGCCAACTTGTTGATAGATAAAACAGATGGCAGTGAAGGTATCTGTCTCGTTTGTTTAAATCTTAATCAATTGTTGATGAGTGGGGACTAATAGTCTAGTTTGAATTCCGGACATATAAAAAATACGAGCTGTTTTTTTCCAGTGAAGGGACGACAGGCGAGAGGATTCTACTCCTGGGACATCAGCTGGGCAGAATGATTCAACACCGGTGAGTGATTAATTATTTTTATATTACGGAGCCCCAGGATAAAATCGCCCTTTCCACCATCTTCAAAGCCAGAAGACTTATTCCAATAATCGATCTTATCCATTAATCAATCGACAAAACAGAAGCAACTCAATGAATTGAGATTAATGAATAAATTTGGTTAGATCAGAATTAATTCGATTAATTAATAAATTTGGAATTTCGGGGAGGTCTTAATATTTTTTCAAGTCAGACATTTGTTGGCGAAATTTTACTCAGATTTGTCGAACTCTCGTTTTCTCGGGAATTTTTACTGTTGGGAAATTTCATATATGGTGAATCGGGAAAAGTCCATTTCGCACTCAGAGGAAAAGTTCATTTCGCACTCAGAGGAAAAGTCCATTTCGCACTCAGAGGAAAAGTCCATTTCGCACTTAGAGGAAAAGTCCATTTCGTACTCAGAGGAAAAGTCCATTTCG